ATTGAATTATTTACAAGTCTTCAACCTCCAGTTGTTTGTTAACTAATATAACGTTATCCGTACAAGGTTGTGGAGATTTCATACACATAGTTCCCTTTATCATTTTGAAAAGAGCAAGAACAAACATTCTAGCAGAATAGCATGAATTCATTTTTATTTCGTTGGTTCTCGTCAGCTGCTTACAACCTGTGATATTTAAAATCATAATTAATGGGTTTAAATTACTTACATAAAAGAGTTTGATTGGAAGTTATATTAAAGACATATTCATATAGTATAGCAAGGGTGTAAATAAATAAAAGCCTGATTTATGTGTTCAAAAGGAGATGGTTATTAATCTTTCCTTGCCTTGGTGATTAATATTCCCTCGTTATATCTTATTTATTTTTTTATTTTTTTATTTTTTTTTCCCTTAAACTCTTTATTGCATTTATTACACCATTGAGTTTTATTCCAACTATCTTATTTTATTTTATCAACTGAACTCTACTCATTTTATTCCTATCAAGGTTTATTTGTTTCTAACCGTTTGAACTGTTGTCACAATGTTCTTTCATCACATAAGGTATATATTTACAATATTCAGTCTGTTGTGGAGATTGTTAAGTTTTTGATTGAGATCATGAATCGATTGATGTGAGACCATCATGGAAAACCTGGAAACACTGGACAGCCGTTTCGTCCTATTGTGGGACTTGGCAGCAGCGCACATCCACGACCCCGCCCCACAGGATTCGAACCCAGGACTTATCGGTCTCGCGTGCGAATGCTTAAGCCCTAGACTAGTGAGCCGACATCCAACAATGTTAATGTCTAACTTCAATCGATTCATGATCTTGAGCAACCCATCATCCATTGTCTGAAGTAAATAACTGCCTCCACTCAGCACAGGTTGTACTTCACTGATTATGGCTTCTCACTAGAACTCCAAGAAATCCATATTGAGTCTCATGAGTGCGCACTGCTAGGGTCTCATACTAGGACGAAACGGCGATCCACTGCTTCCAAGTTTTCAACGATGATCTAGTTTAGATCGTCTCATGAATTCAACTATCAAAATTTATTTATTTGTTTGATGTCTACAATTTATTTAATCATTAATTATATTTTTATTCATTTTTGATTCAAGTTCGATGACTAATGACCACACTTTCAAATCAATGTTTAATTTATTTATTTCGCTTATGTACGTTCTAAATGTTGTCTTTGCTAGTCCTAATTCTCTTTTTCAACATTTGTAAATGTTAAATATATATCATTTCCGTCAGAAAAAAAGAAATCAGATTAGAAATGGGAAATCATTCATGCAAAACTACTGAAGTATTTGAAATAACTACTTAAATGATCAACTTCCGTCATTTATCACTTAACATTTTACATGGAAACATATTTTACCTAATGATGAGTTATTTGGACTATTGAGTCCAATGCAATTCAGTCAGAATTACAGACCAAACAAGCATGACATCAGTTACCAGTCAGATAAACATCAGTGCAATTAGTTTATTATTTCACATTTAATTGTACAAATCTATACTGATTCAATGACAGGAAGTAAATCTATCATCATCATAATGATAAGAACAATATAATAAGTGCCTAACTTTGGACCCAACTAGTTGATCATGAAGACTGACCATATAAGGTTACAGATATTAGTAATTAAAGTTTAATTATCAGTTAGTTTTGAGCCATGATGAAGAGCTAATTATGAAAGGAAATATACTTTTGTCCCAAAGTAAAAATAATTTATATGGGGATGACCATACCTATATAAACTAGACTTGTTGCATTTCTTTATTAAAATATACATGCACATAATCCAATGTGCACACAATCTCTAACCTGTATTAGTCCGCATTCAACTATCTGTCAGTGAACACATCCAACACAAAACTATTCGACGAGAAATTCAATTTTCTTTAAGAACATTCAGCAATTTATTAACATAACATAGTTTGTAAATCATTATTTTCAGTATAAGGTTGTAGAGATTGTTGAACATTTGTTGAAATCATGAACCTATCAATGTTAGACCGTCACTGAAAACTTGCAAGCACTAGACTACCATTTTGTTCTAATATGAAACACATCCATGATCTTTCACGCTAAACTCGAACCCAAGGTCGCTTGTCTCGCTCGAACATTTAACCTCTAGACCGTTGAACCAGCATCCAATGCTATTTATCTCTAACTTCAACCAGTCCACGGAATTGCACGATCATCTTCCATTGTCTGCGGTGGATAATGATCTCACACTCAACCCAGTTGAATTCCACTGGCCACTACTTATTTATTCACAAAATAACATTATGTTGTACTTATAACAAACTATTTTGTATTTCTAACTTATAAAGAGAGAGAAATAGAAAAAAACGTTTGACTAAAAATCTGACAACAGTAACCCTAAAACTCATAAATCAAACAATAACAACATTATTCCAATGCATATTTCATCGTTTTTCTTTCTTTCTTTCAAAGTTACTTTCACAATTGATCGAATGACATTGGGAGTGGTGATATATATATATATATATATATATATATATATATATATATATATATATATATATATATATATATATATAGGGGTGGGTAGGTTGCTGACACGACTCGTTAATGATTGATTATACAAAGTCAGAGACATGTTGATCAATTTCCTCATTGTAAATGTAGAATTATTAACGAATATTTATTTTTGCTTTGTCCTTAAATGTTCTACTAAATAGACATGTAAACTAAAAACGGGCACACTTAGGAATAATAATAATAATAATAGTAATTGTTATGTTTATTAAATGTAATCTATTCATAACATCATTTCATAATCAAAAATGTCAATAATACATTAATTCTCTTTAATGAATTCAGTACAGTAGAATTGAACGTAAAATTACATAAATTGTATATATTATGACCTGGACAACATTCAGAAAATAAATGTTATTTTCCTAATTGTTTTGTTTTTCTAAACTAAACTGTTCAATATTGTGTATATATATGATGTAAAACAGGTAGAAAAATGTTCCAGTGACGGCCTGCTTGAGCATCTGGGCTACCTGTTCCTGCCATCTAAACATTTCATCAATTTATCTATTTTTGTTTGTTTTAATATATCATTATGTCTATTAATCGCACAAACTATCCTGGTACATTTCTGAAAAGTGTACAACCTTTCGTTGTCAAAGTTACAAAAAGCTCAATAAGAGACAATGCGGTTTCTGATAATATACAACGAAAAGAATTTACATCATTCAGATGTTCATTTACTGGACTGCTAACATCTAACTGGCGATCACTAAATATTTATCGCCAGGACCGACCAAGAAGAAAAAAACGGAAACTTGTTGAAATACTTTGCACTGAGATTTCTATATTGTACCAAAAACATAATATTGAATAAAGCTAATAATAATCATGATAACAGAATATGGTAAGACTATAGTTGATGGACGACCTTTAAGCGCTGCTAAACTGACCTTGAGACTGTCCACATAATAACCAAGATCAAATGAGGGTTATAAACCAATGTGAGGAATTATGATTACAATTTATAGTTGATGATTAAGCTTAGAAATTAGAATCCGGGTTTTCATCATGAATTGACATCAGTTAAAATGGCAAGATGGTATTTATCCAAATGGATTAGTGAATTTCGCACTAAAATCCAAGACCTATTATCTTATACGTGATTGGTTCGTTCATAAACTATAGTCTTGCCCAGAATTCTTGCATTAATTTCAAAAAAAAGTTTTTCCAAATGTAGAATTCAATTAAAATTCAGTGTTTAATTGAATTAATTGAATAAACATAGCAACCACTTATTCATTAAATGGATTTATTTTTATGTAGATTTTAGCGACATTTGATGATCGGCTCAGTGGTCTAGAGGTTAAGCGTTCAATTGCGAGACCGTTAGGTCCTGAGTTTGAATCCCGCAGGGCAAGATCATGGATGCACACTGCTGAGGAGTCTCACAATAGGACGAAACGACCATCCAGTGTTCCCAGGTTTTTCATTGTGGCCTAGCTCCGATTGACTCGTGATTTTAACTATTAAATTAATAAATATCATTTATAAATTAAATAGTGAGAAAATGTTCTATCCCAAAATATGTACAGTGACATTAGTATTACAACTAGTAATGTACAGACGTGTTTCATCTTAGTACGATATTCTTCAGCGGTATGCAAGTATAAAATATTAAGGGACACTAATCACAAGACAGTCAGATCTTTTTTGGAACAATGTATATTCAGCACCACAGAGTATTAGATTTTGATCATTAAAATTTCCAACTACAGATGACTTGAGATATTGCGCTAATAAAAAGTGAAGCTAATTGATATAATGTTTTGACTGAAAATAAATAAACTCGTATCTTCAGTTCATTAGTTTACATCATGCACTACGCTTAGTTAAACAACTACTGAAAACTAAGTAGCTATAGTGTACACCCGTGAGCCGACTTAACATAACATCGAAGTCTTACCGTAAATAATGAACATTCAAATCACTGAGTCAGCGTCCAGTAATTATTATTTATTACCACAAAGTTCAAAAATATTCGCAAACCACCTTATAATGATAACAGACTAACCAGTAGCCGAAATTGGGAGCTAATCCTCGGAGATGTAATGAGAAGCCAAGTCGGATGTAACTCAGTTACCCAGCATTAGGACTGGATAATAGTTCTTGGATAGCACAAACTATCTGAAGTTAGAAATGTAAACCACGGGAAACCTTATCAATAATCTAAATGTTGAACATCCACCATGAGAACTGGAAGTCTTAGGTTCTGTTCAAACAAGGGTCATGGATGTACACTGTTCACAGTTCTCATAATGGAACGAAACAGTTACTAGATGCTTCTCAGTTTTCAATGATTATTCAACTAAAATCATTTCATGATGTAATCTGTTAGTTTTTAAAACAATCTACTGATTTCCTTCAATTTATTTTACTTTTTTTATTTTTATTTTAATTTCAATTCAATTCAGATCCATCAAGAAAATCAGGAGATTATGGAATATGCAGTGCCATCTTAATTACAATTTCATACTTATTCATACTTATTACATTTCCTTTCTCATTATTTTTCTGTATTAAAGTAAGTTAATCTTTTTATGGAATTAATTTTTGTAAATAATACAGAGTTATTGTAGTTTTCATACTTAATTTTGTTTCTTTCACACTGACCAGTACTGAGCTCACTTACCCCCAATGGAGCATAGGCCGCCCAGTACTCAACAATGTAATCTAAATGACTGAAATGAGAAATATAAACCATTGAATTCTAATTAAGTGATATTGAGTTATCGTTTGTTTATTGTAAGATTAAAAGGTGAAACTCTAATTTATGGACGGCCTTTGAACGTATTTTTAAGTGACCTTGAGAGCATTAGCCAATCAGAAGAGAGTTAGTATAAAGTAAAAATATATTACAAAAAACTGATGAATTACAATGGATATTCTTCTTTTACATGATTTAAGAACTTGTTGAGGTTTGATAAAGGTTCAGAAGTTTTGAAATCATAGTGCATGCGGTATAAGAACTCATCCATATGGCTCCATATTAACCGTCCTCTGGAGCCGTGGTAGGGTCTTAAAAAATACTTCAACCTTGACCACATGCCTTCAATATTGTTCGTATGGACCCCCGTCGTTGGATCAACAAAATGACGTTTGTGCACCACAACATGATGCACAAAACCAAGTCTCGAGAGGCATCTATACGCTTTCCAATCATCGGTATAGATCGTAGTGCCAGGTTGAAAGTACTCCTTGATGATTGTTATGATTGTCGTTACCTGACGTTTTCTTACTCTTTGAAAATGTCCTTTTTGAGTTGAACGATCGTAAAACCCAAGTACCTGTCAAGTATATTCACGGAAGTACTACTTACCCAATCTTCCTTGATATAACGTCCTTTATTGTATTTCCGCTTCCTAACTACCGCCTCATCTATTTCCACTATCTTTCCAACTCCTCCAAATGATTCATGTACTCGTGTCATTTTCATTGCGCATATATCACGACAATATTCATACCACTGAACGGCGAAAGTTTCCGTAACATCTGCAAAAGCCGCAGCTAATGTTACTGGAGACTTTATAATCCGATTTGCAACGATTATCATGATTTGTCTTAGCCTTAGCCGTGACCGGGCAAAAAAAGTGCCAGTTCGAGCGGATTTTTTTCTCCAACATATAGTACAACGAATACAATGTCATCACGGTAGTCTGCACATCGTGCTGCGGTAATTTGATTGCCGCAGTCACAGACACAGGAACTTCTTAATAGTCTCATCTGCTGTAGTCTCTCAACAATCACCTCTTCTCTAAAATCTGCTGTAAAACGATCGAATGTGAGCATCTCGCATTGAACTTAGCGCCGTGACCTTGAAACTCCTTAAACGCTTCTGATTGGCTCGTCCATAAATTAAAGTCCTAACGATTAAAATATATTGTGCTTCTTGTTTGTAAAACACTGCAGTTCCAAATTGACAAGGAATTCTAAACTAGGTCAAAACAAGCATCCAGTATTATTTCATTGATACCAAATTCTAACATAAGCATAAAGGTGACAAATAATGACTATTTGAAATAGTCATTGTTTTTGTAGCGAAGTTGAATTGCAGCTTATCGTGAAATCTAGGACATAATTGTTCTCCAATTTCAAACTTGTTAATTTGATATATCTGAATTTTATTGTTGATGTTCACTTTAAGACTTGAAACACAGTACCATTCTGTTCAAATACAAAAGTATTATCCCATTAATAAATACCAAGTTGGATAGGATGGAATCTACTCTAAATGGTCATATGTCATTAAAGACTACTTACTTACTTACTTACTTACTTACTTTCTTACTTACTTACTTACTTACTTACTTACTTACTTACTTACTTACTTACTTACTTACTTACTTACTTACTTACTTACTTACTTACTTACTTACTTACTTACTTACTTACTTACTTACTTACTTACTTACTTACTTACTTACTTACTTACTTACTTACTTACTTACTTACTTACTTACTTACTTACTTACTTACTTACTTACTTACTTACTTACTTACTTACTTACTTACTTACTTACTTACTTACTTACTTACTTACTTACTTACTTACTTACTTACTTACTTACTTACTTACTTACTTACTTACTTACTTACTTACTTACTTACTTACTTACTTACTTACTTACTTACTTACTTACTTACTTACTTACTTACTTACTTACTTACTTACGCCTGTTACTCCTCGTGAAGGATCATAGGCCGCTCACCAGCATTCTCCATCCAACCCTGTCCTGGACAATCATTTCCCGCTCCTTCCAGTTGTTATTCATCTTTTTCACATCTGCTTCTATTTCCCGACGTAATGATAATAGTATTAGTAAGAGTTTAAATAGAAATCCGTTAATTCTAAATAATATTAGCACAGAAATTCTCTTTGTAAAAAAAATGTCACATAAATTATTATTATCAGAATGAGTTTTGTGGAGATTTTTAGAAATTTCACTTGTTGAAATCATGAGTCAATTGAAGCTAGACCACCATGGAAAACCTGGAAGCACAGGACGGCCGTTTCGTCGTTTCGTGGATGCGCACTTTTGAGGAGTCCTATACTAGAACGAAACGGCCGTCCAGTGCTTCCAGGTTTTTCATGGTGGTCTAGGTTCAATTGGCTCATGATTTCAACAAGTGACATAAATTATTACATAATTTCTAAATTATCTTTTCATCACAGCTATGCATATATTACCTTCAAAATAAAGTGAATAAATAATACATGAAATCGAATTAACAAGTAGGTCTCTATGCTACATACGAATAAAATAGTGATGTATAGCATATAATGAAAGTGAATAAGAGTAATAAAAAGAAGTATACTTTGTATGTATCTTATATTAACAAATGCTGTTGTAAATGTACTGTTATATGTTATATGTTTGCTATACAACTTGAATGTTTTGTATGAAACCGTTATGACATAGGTTAAAATATATATGATAGTGTATTTAACTCAGTTGATATGTATATGTCATAGATAATACTGTCAAATTATCTCGTTTATAAAATGAATACGAATATTTCGAGAATACATACATTTTAAGCATTCATACTGGTTGACGAACTATAAGCAAGGATGAACGAAACAGTATTTGAATAGACTATGAAATCAATCAACCTATGAATTGCTATCTCAGCATTTCTATGGATCACAGTGGCATAATGTAATATAGATAAACAGATATAGACAAGTACACATATTTAAAAAAGGTAAACGAATGAAAGGTCACTATCATTTACCTATAAATATATACACTGTAAGTATCCTACTTTGTATAAGTTCAAATAAGGCCTTGCATCAATCTGTAATGTCAATTCATAATACAATTGCAAATTTGTCTACATGTGTGTGTATGTAAATCTTTCCGTTTTTGATGTTAAAGATTGAATTTCGATCAGTCTTTTTTAACAGATGCGCATAATGAGCGGATGGACTTGATAATACCACTAAGTAGCAAGTATTTAAGTACAGTTGGATGGTAACTAAAAATGAAATCTGGGAAGTGTAATTCGTTCTAATTTGATGAAAATTCAGTCTTTACCATCAGTCATGAGGAGATGTAAACATCAAAAAAATAAATAATAAAGTTCGTTCCAGTAGTACAAACTAGCGGGTATTCGAATTTGGCAGTTCAGTGGACCGGCTTCGAGTTCTGGTGTGATGTGATTATATTATATTTCCTTGAAAAACCTTGGGCTAGATTCGTAAACGAAACGTTAGATTTACTTCAAATTTATTCGTTGAGATTTTACGAATGCATTCCTCAATAATGTCATACAGATCCGGTTGAAAATAAGCCACATATAAAGTGGCATATTCATATGTCGGTTTAATTTAGTTCCAAGGTTAAATAAATCCATACTGTTATAACTTATGGCCTTGTACCCCCATCAATAATATGACGTTATGATACCGCCAATTCGAGAACACTGAATTACCGGTCGGACCAGTGATGCATAAAACCCGTGAAAGCAGCCCTGCTTCGTGCCTAGCACAGCCAGTTAAGTCCAGAACACAAATCTCAGACTCTGAGATATGAATCATTTGTTTCAAATATACTGAGTTTATATACAAATCAGACAGAACACATCATACCGTGAAATAGAAAATAACATTTGTACAAGAATTAATCAAATGTGGCTCTGAATGTGAGAGATAGTAGATGAGAGACTGGGTATAACTCAATAATGGTAAATCGTTTAATAATAGTTCATGGGTCAAAATAAAGCTTATGATAAAAAGGAACACGAATATGAATAGTTTGGTCATTTAACAATTATACGATAAAAATATACGCATAGCATTGGTCCATAAATGGGTCCCAAAAGTTACCATTCATTATTCTCATCGGGATATAACACATATCACCAGTCTTTGTGTTCTGGCGATGTGTTGTCAGATTAGAAGGGGTTTCAATAACAAGCACAAGCCAGTCAAGCAATTTCACAGACAATAGTGACCGACAATAAATAATATTAAATTTTATAATTTAGAACGAAATGACTCCTTATTTTATTTGTTTACATAATTATCAGCAGCAAATAATTAAATATTGGACAAAATTTCCTCATTTTTTGAAAAAAGATTATCACTTTCTTATAAGTTACTATCTTTAGATTATTTTCCACAATGTATATAATGTCTAGATAAAATGGTGGTTGGAAGTAGTAAACAGGAAACCCTGGACCCGGGTTTCCTGCTACTTGGCACTCGTCAGCAAGGTGTACCTGTAATCTTGAGGAAACTGATGCTCCCTGGCAGATTCCATTCCGTGCCACCCAGCTTCACAGTCAGAGACATTACCACTAGGCTATCCAGGCCGCAAATGACATAGTATACGCGATGTCGAGTCACCTGGACTGGTGGCCACATTGCAACTTGGTCGATAGCATTCGATCTACACTAAGAGGGAACTAACATGCATGATATTGATCACCACCCAGTGATCAATCAGCTGGAAAGTATATCATGTCTTTTTTATGTAACTTTTCAAAACACGCTGAACCAATGTGGCAGGAATAAAAGGAATTTTTATTGAAAAATTCTTCCATTTTGCAAAGATTTATTCTAAAATGATTGTTGTTTTGGTTCTTCTATACAACGTCTTGAATTAAAAAATTTATCACAGATAATTACTTAGGAAATAATTTGTGTTAGAATATGAATAATGGAATAAACAAAATAAATCATTTACAAATTGAATATCTTGAATATAAACAGTAAGGCTGAAATGTAGGTTACATCTAACTGAAATTTTCTATATAGAAAAAAATGCCATGTTTAATTTCACTTCTAGTAACCATTTAAAATATAATATTATCAAGAGTGATTCATTCATTTACCAAAACAAACATTTAGCCGTAAGAACTTCAAAGGAATGCTGATGGAGATCAAACACAGTAACTGATTTTTAAAAAAAAAATTGATATTAGGGTCATTTAAAATGAATTTTAAGCAAACATGAATAGTGGTTAGCAGTGGAATCCAGGACCCACGTTTCGTCCTATTTAAGACTCTTCAGCTGGATTTACCTGTATCTGAGAGTTGATGTTCACTTTGGGATTCGAACCATCACGTTATCCACTTGACTACTGAGTCCTGGTAGCCACTTGCTTGTGCAATGGGTGGAGTTTAAATTCACTTGATATTGTTTACTTGAATCTTCCCAATTATGTTTAGAACTGTACTTGATCAGTCTCTCACTGGAAAATGTGCATCCTGTGTGGATCGCCTTGATACTGCCTTAAGTCACGCCATTATAAGCAAAGATTGTTGGTGGTTAGCAGTGGAGTCCAGGACGCTCATTTCGTCCTGGATTTACTTAGAGATTGATCATTTGAAATCTTAAACATCAATGGGAAGATTCAAGTAAACAATTCCAAGAGAATTTAAAATGAATTTTATTGATTACATTCGAAGAAATATATATATATATATATTCATTCCTACTAATCATTTTGAATAGAACCCACCAAATAGTATGGTGTAAAACTGATTAGTTTCACTAATGATGATTCTAAAGCATACCAATAGTTATTATAGTTTAATATATTACAAATATGATTTACAGAGTGTACTATTTATTTTTATACTATCTAAGGTTCTATAAAGATATTCATTATTCTATATACTTTTGTTTATAATTATAGGTTGTAGCTGAATATGAAAGAGCAGTTATATTTCGATTAGGACGAATTCTGCCTAAAGGTGCTCGTGGACCAGGACTTTTCTTTATTGCACCATGTATTGATTCAATTCGTAAAGTTGATTTACGAACTGTAACCTTTGATGTCCCGCCTCAAGAAGTAAGACATATATATATATATATATATATATATATATATACTTGTTTAAGTATTGATGGGTTCTGTGACTGATAAATCCTTTTTCTCTTTCAAATTGAAACATATGTTAACCAAAATTATTCCATTGTTATAAGTTTAAGGTTGTGGAGATTGTTAAGATTTTGATTGTAATCATGAATCGACTAACGTTAGAACACTATTGAAAACCTGGAAAGACTGAACGGTCGCTTCGTCCAGACATGAGACTCCTCAGCAGTGCTCATTCATGGTGCCACATTCGCTAACCTAACCTAGGACCTTTGGTCTTGCATGTGAACGCTTACTCTCTAGACCACTGAGCATGAATTCAACGGTGTTTATGTCTAACTTCAATCAATCCACCATCTTCCATTGTCCGAATCCTGCGACCGTGGTCGTTGGTGCGCACTGCTGAGGAGTTTCATGATAGAACGCTGCAGCCGTCCAGTGCTTCCAGGTTCTCAATGGTGGTCCAAGATCAATCGATTCATGATCTCAATCAAAAACTTAACAATCTTCACGACCCCTAAACTGATAATATTATATTTAATTTATTCTGTTTCAATTTATATTACTGGTTAGGGTTTTTTTCAAAAAACAAGGTTGTTTTTTTACGGGATAGGTATGCTGACCCCACGCTCAACCATTCTTCTTTACCCGGGCTTCATATCCACAGTAACCTTAGAAGACTTACAGGCAAAATTTTCAATCTATGTTATTTACTTTATAATACGTTATGAACTATTAAGCTGTGGAATGATTAGTGAATGTAGGTTAGAAATATATTTTCTTGCAGATTTAAGATCTCTTAAATTTTCAAATTAGTTATCATCATATTTATACAAATACTAGGATCAATTCAAGAATAACTAAAAACTAAAATGAAGTTAACAGGTACTTCTCCTAGGTTTTTGAAATTTCTCAGCAGTACATATGAATCATATCAGATATACATTTAGATTAAAAGCTTTCAGATATATCATTTATGATCACGTTCAATCATTAGACTGATGTTGTAGATGATAAATACTACACTCTTTTTTAGACATGATTAACTAATTTCTTAAGGTTATTCCAAATATATTTGTAAATCAACTTCTTTAAAAAAATTATTGATCAGTATTACATAGTAACAAAAAAAGGGGTTTAACATTTGAAAAGAGGAATAAGTTTTCGGGGTGTCGGTCATTTTTAAAAGACCTTCGATGTTAAATATTATCTTTATTTAAGTCATTCATCAAAATGATCACGTGTAAAGTTTAGTTTATGTAAGGAAAAGAAAAAAATTTTATTTATGTCTAATTTATATTTTGCTGTCATACAGTCAAATATAAATTTCTACACATGAATGCACAAAATTTACTGTCAGATAAAGAGATCAATGTTATATTAGATGATGGTTGGAGGAAGTCGACAGGAAACCCTGGACCCGGGTTTCGTTCTACTTGGAACTCGTCAGCAAGGTGTACCTGGGTCCAGGGTTTCCTGTCGACTACCTCCAACCACCATCTTACCTCGACATAGTGCACGCAGTGTCGAGTCACCTAGACTGGTGGCCACATTGCATCATGGTCGATAGCATTCGATCTGCACTAAGAAGGACTCGACACACATGACATTGGTCACCACTCAGTGATGAATCAATTGGGATTAATGTTATAGTTTAACCTATTATGATTACTGAATCCTTTTTCATTAAAATTTCCTGAACTAATGAAAACAAACGAGAATGTAAATCAAAAAAGTTCATTATCAATATTCTTATTATTTAAATAATTATCAGAAGGGGTTTTGTGGAGATTTTAGAAATTTCAATAGCTGAAATCATGAGTTGATTGAAACTAGATGACCATGAAAAACCTGCAAGTACTGGATAGCCTTTTCGTCCTATTGTGAGACTCCTTAGCAGTGCACATCCACGATCCCACCTCGTGAGGTTCGAACTCAAGACCTCCTAGTCTCACGTGCGAGCGCTTAACCTCTAGACCTATAAACCAAAAAACCCTCCTGATATTAAAAACTCATAAGTTGAATAATATCATTTTTGTGGATATCAATTTTATGAGAGAAGTAGACAACAATATATTGTTCTTGAATATTTTAATCAATCAACTAAACACAGGAACTTTGGAAATACAAATATACAGACAACCAAGCATCACAAATCAAATGTTAAACAACACCAGTAACAACTCAATGGTACTTAAAAGGATTTATGCTCAAACACTTCTTGGATAAGCTGAAACTCATTGAAGTATTTTCACTACATAAAAATGTTGAGAAACTCATTTAGAAAGTTCATCTTGTTTTAGAACGGCCACTCTAAAACGTTTGATCAAAAGATATCTGGTCAACTAACAAACTGTCTAGAAAACAATCTCAGCAACAGAGAAAACGATCATTCTATTAAGTATACGAAATATCTCAGAAACGATTGCATGGTTCTTGAACCTCTTTAGTGTTAACGTCATGCACAAACCAACACAGTCACTTTATTCTATTGTATTCAAATCAAATAGCCCAACATCAAAGGAAGACAAATTTAATATTATTCACCGAATAAATTGAACCAATTGCGAGGAGTATTACATAGAACAAAATGGGCGCTCCTTTTGTCTTTGTAAAAGTAAACACATATTAGCAGATAGGTTAAATGATATATTATCAATGATATCAATTCATATTGATAACCACTAATTTGATTGTGTAAATGTCCAAATTCTGGTTAGGGGCAACTCTTAGAGTCCCAGAGAAATTCTATAAGCATGGAATTCAAATAAATCAGTAGTCAACACACACATCAACATTGACCCAATTTATGAAGCTATACAGAGAAAGTCAGTCAGTCACAATGTCATAGGTCAATCAATAAATATAGCCAACGCGAATCTGAAGGTAAACGAAGGTAACTAAACTCACAAAGGCAGCCAGTCACAGACAAGTCATTTAGAATGGACCGATATAATACTTATAAAATAGTTAGAAAGCTCACTTTTACATGATGTAAGCGATGAAGATATTGTTCAGGATGATAATGAAAGCTTTGCAATAAAAAAATCTAGCTAAGAGGACTTAACACAATCAGAAAAAAAACATTGGACACAGTTAATAAGCGTTTCTTCCTAATGATAAAACCAGTATAAATCTTATTCAACAAACAATAATCACTTAAACATACTAATATTTTCTTTGTTTTTTCTTCTTCAGGTTCTTACGAAAGATTCAGTAACAGTAGCTGTAGACGCAGTAGTTTATTATCGTATATATAATCCTGTCGTAGCCATAACAAATGTTGAAGATGCTGACCGATCAACACGCCTACTAGCAGCGACTACATTAAGAAATGTTCTAGGTACAAAGAATTTAGCTGAGATTTTATCTGAACGTGAATCGATTTCAACATCTATGCAGGTGAAAAGAAAATTTTGATTGATTTTATAACTTTCAATAAATTTCTTTTTAATCTTTACTATTTTGCTTATTACCCTGAAGAAGTCCAGACAAATTAGCTGGACGAAACGTTGGAATTATTTAAATTTCAATCGCTGAGATTATTTCAAATAATAATTTTCACATATAATGACTTCTCTATACGTTGGCGCCCAATATCTGTCAAACTATTCGTTCTAATCTTGACGAATATTCGTATGATATATTTTATATTTCTTAGTTTAAATAATCAGATATGTTAATCATTGTCAGTGATGATGAAAACAAACGTAAATGTAGAATAATTGATTCAATTGTTTGTACAATAGTAAAATAATGATAATAAATTGTAGGATATTAGATAGTATACTGTAGATATATACTTTTTATAATGTGTTATTGGAGATGATTGAATTGGAATTTTCATACAACGGATTAACTATGGCTAGATAACTATGAAAAATAGAAAAGCATTAGATAGTTATACTTACAAGTGGTTTATTTCAAGAGGTAATTAACTGAAGTTTTAATGAATAACCGTGAACAGGAGAATCCAGTCACTATGGATTTGAAATAAACACCACCAAATCCCAATGGATAATGGTCATTTAATAACACGAATTGATTAAAAGCAGAAATGTAAACAATTGGATGTCAAACTAGTGTTCTGAAAGTTAATCACTCTTCAAGAGATCTGAACGTCTTGGATTCAATTCCCACTTCAGTCGTAAATGTGTAATAGGAGAGAGTCTCAGTCTAGGATGGAACATCTATCAAGTACTTCCCGGTTCTTAGTGACTGTTTGGAAATTTGTCTGAAAAAATAGTTTTGTTTATTACCTGGTCTTAAAACAATCAGCAACATGCTGTGCTTGATTCATATCTATTTTCAATTGGAACTCATAGGTAAACTATATCTACGGTACTGAAACAACTAATCTCGGCAAACAGTAAAATATATTATATACGATTTTCATTGATTCAAACCAGTTTTTAGATCGTAACATAATCGATAGAGTTAGGTCATGGTTAAAAATCTAGATGAACATGATGTGAAATGCTACTTAGTGATGAGTCAGTAGAAAAGTATTTTTATTTAACATACTTAGATTGTGGCTAGTAATAGAGCTCGAGACATGCGTTTTGTCCTATTTGGAACTTGTCATCGGGATTCCGCTGTTAACTACAATTCATCTATTCTAAATACTTTGTAACAAAATGGCTACGTTGACGGTAATTGTCACATAAGACCCATATACTTGCAAGTACTGTATAAAGTTTAATTTTAAATATAAACAACAAGACAATAAAAACCCCTATAAATTTAATATCCAAAATCTTTTAATTATGAAATGAATGTTTGCATTAAGATATGACGGGAAAAACACGGTTAACTTTATGATCCAACTTAAGACAGACAGTGAATGTACTTTACGTTTAATACATTAAAACCCATCTGGTTAAAGAAATATCGAACAATAGGATTCAATGTGTTACTTAATGTGCTAAATACTCTGTAAATAATCCTACGCAATAAAGAAAGGAAATAATGAAAATCACACACGCCAATTTCATAAATCTCAAGTGATATGAGCCCATTGACAATTACTGTCGAACATATCGAAAACCATATGCATACTTTATTTTGATCAATAGTACACATGAGTCAGTTAAACCATTAGTGAATACTTGGAAGCACTGGATGGCCGTTTCGTCCTCGTATAGAACTCCTCAGCACTGTGCATCTTGTGTAGTAATCAAATCCATGTCACGTGGAGACAGTTATCCACTTCAGACAATAGATGAAATGTTGCGAATAATCATGAATCTATCGAAATTAGACACTAATATCGTTGGATATAGGCTCAATGGTCTAACGGTTAAGTGTTTGCGCACGATATCAAAGGTCATGGATTCGATTACTACAAGCGGAATCATAGATGTTCACTTCTCTGAAGAGTCATCTACTAGAACGAAACGACCATCCAGTGTTCTTAGATTTTCAATAGTGATCTAAAATAGATTAATTCGTGAATTCAACTATTAAAATTATAATCAGATCATAAAGTTATTGAATAAATTATCCATAAAAAAGAAAGAAATTTTTCTGACATTTAAATTATAAACTATTTTAACCTTTGAAATGTCATTTGATTAAATCCCATAGAAAAGGACTTTTTTCATTCTACAAGCTTTTATTATTCAGTTTCTGTTTTAACAATAAGAAAACAGGAAATCATTTTAGTTTTACGATAATAGAAGAAAAAAGGAAACTTTTTGTTTAAAAAAATTGAACGTTTTGATCTTAACAACGAAAGAAAAAACTGTTTATGGTTTTTAAGCAATGGAATCCAGGACTCACATTCCACCCTATTTGGGACTCGTCAGCTGGATGTACTTGCATCTCAGAGTTGATGTTCATTCTGGGACTCGAACCCAGTATCATTCGCTTCAAACACTATCGCATTATCCACTTAGCTACTGAGTGCTGATAGCCACTTGCTTGTGCAATGGGGTGAAGTTTAAATTCACTTGGTGTTGTTTTACTAGTATTTAGGACTGTAATCGATCGGTCTTATGTTGGCATATGTGCATCCTCTGCGGATTGCCTCGATATAGCTTTAAGTCAAAAGCTTTTTATTAATTTTTCTTTTAATGTAAAAAACAAACTTTTGAAAAATGTGAATATTTTAATGATTATCAATATATATACATATTAAAGTTTGTGCTGTAAAGTTGTACTTGTAGTGTCGGTTACTATGTCAAGCCTATATAACTTATTCTAGCTTCTGGACATGCCTATTTATCGTTTCTTCCCGAGTCACGTTTTGACCTTGTTAATTATTCACTTATCAACCTTGACTTTTTATATGAGCATATGTATTTACACTTCATATCCTATTCATCACATGTCTGTAACATATTTTTATCTGGCTATAAATATTGATTAACGCTTGGTTAAATTGAGTTGATTTACTCGCCTTCTCCATTGCACGTCATTTTGCTTCGCTCTCTTCTCTTCACTTCATTCCCTGATTGTCTGTTCAACCCAATGAGTGCATGAAATATATATAATTAGAATCCATTATCGTATATGACTTATTGAATTCCATTATTCACTAACACGAATCAAGTCGATAATTATATACGAGGATTGACGATATATATATCGAAAGCAATCATTCATACGATCTAATTGGAAACAGACATCGGGTCACAAAAGTGGTGATCCATTCAACAACATCTTCTGACCTAATTTACGTCAAAAGGAAGAGTCCAACTAAATACTTTTGAAACAAATTATTATTATTAATGGCTTCAATCAATATTATATTTTTGGTAAAATATAGAATTCTCAACACAAAGTGTTTTTCAACAAGTTTCCTTTTCTTGTTTCTTGATCGATCTTACTGATAGATATTGACTAATCTCGAGTTAGATGTTATCAATATAGGAATCGATATCTGAATAATGTTCATTCTTTTCAATGCATATTGCCAGCCATTACGATGTCTCCGATTGTAGTTTTTTGTAACTTGTACAGCGAAAGGTAGTAAACGTTTCATAGTTGCGCCTGAACAGGTTATACGATTAGTCGATATAATGATGTGCTAAAACAAACAAGGAAACAAATAAATTATATATTTGTAATGTCCCAATGAGTTGAAAAATTAGATTTTCTGACGTTTCGTGACTAAGTGTAAGCCACTTCTTCAGAGAGTAAATAACCGATTGTTTTTCTACTCACTGAGATACTACAAATATATTATTTATTTATAACAATCTATCCAGTGCTTAATTTATTCGAAATTATCAAATCAAACCTTGATAATGATACCTACAAACAAGGAAACAGATAACTTTTTGAAATATCTAGATGACAGGATCAGGTAGCCCAGATATTCAAGCAGACTGTCGTGCTTAAACTGATTCTTATATAGTCACTTGGCTTTCAAAGAATGTAACACTGTATTAAACATGGTTATTTTATGGCTAAAACACCTTTACTCTGTTACTATATTTTTAATAAATCTATGATATCAGTATATCAAAACGTCTGCTTTTCATCATTTTTGCCTTCTCACTTTCTATGTTGGTATGAAGTGTATCAGTTTGGCTGAGAAAGTGTTATATTCTCTGAGTCTGACAGTTTAGTTGTGAAGCATGAATTAGACCTTCTCGCCATTATCATTGGTACATATCTATCATATTATTTAGAAGGACAATTAATTGTTGCACGATTACTATAATTAGCTCAAAAACCCTACATATAAAAATCCACCTACTGAACTGCAAATCATCTTTATGATCTACTGTATCAGATTAAACCTGTCAACTCAATGGTAGAAGGTTAAATACATAATATGAGGTCTGTAGGCCATAGGTTCTATCTCTGGTGAGGTAGTAGATATATATTGCTGAAGAGCTTATTACTGGGAAGAAAAAGTTGTTTAGTATTTACCGGTATTAAATTTTTTGTCAAACTAAAGTCAACCTGCACCATACAACTTCATAAGAATGACAAGTGTTTGTTTTCTCCATTTTTTTCTCTCTCTCTATTAGACAATGCTTGATGATGCAACTGATCCATGGGGCGTGAAAGTAGAACGTGTTGAAGTGTAAGTAAATTCATAATATATTTGTTTGATAAAAGGAAATACATATAACTGTCTTAATTTATATTCCATAACTTATATGTTTCAAATTCCGTTTATATCTATAGTTTAAAAGAATTCCTTTGGTAATAACTGTACTCCTATTGTGCTTTTTTTGAAAACTATCGATAAATTCAAAACAATGCTAGAAATAAGAAATTACACTTAATCGTCACGTTGAATTATCCTCTTTTTAAATGAAATAAAAAAAGAATTTCCTAGAGTTCTAGCGGAGGGCCATGACTACTGGATGCAGTTGTGTATGCTGATTAATGTTTATTAATTTCAAGCGGGTAAGCAATGTAGGCCAAAATGGATTTGCTCAGTGAATGTGGTTAATAACTCAAATGAATCCTGTGAATATTGTTAGGTTTGATAATAATTAACAGTGTGGATGAATGGGGAAATTTTTTTAACATGGGTGAATAAACTAAAATTATGCATGCTGATGAATGCCAATCATCTAAGCATTCTCTAGTAATATTCCACTGATATTGAGTGGTAGTGAGGTCGTTAGCCACCAAACCACAACTAAAGCGTTGGATTTCGTCGAATCATCAAAGTCAAACTATCTTGGGACCGATATACCGGGCTAAACACCATTCGGATCATAACTACGTAAACACATAAATTTATTTACTGACAAATACTTAACCCATTGCCACAAAAATGATTCAAACCAATCGGTAACTCAAAATTGGAGCACTTCGTTTTCAGTTGCACTATCGTCAAGAGAATTATCTTTCAAAATCATCTACACAGTCGAATGAACTGTTTAAAAGAGTTTTTAACTAAGAACCATGTGTACTGAGACTGTATAAATTAAAAAAATTCAAACCATAACTATGTATCAAAATAGAATGCATAATTTCTCATTCTGCTATGGTTCTACACCATTTTTAAATATTTTTTATAATTATCAATTATTTTTTATAATCCCCCCTCTCCTAAGATTTTCTTATCTTTCTTAGTCGTGAAGTGATAATTATCTCTGTCAAATTTCTTTTATAAGTTACATTTTAGTGTTTTCAGAAACTTGTAAATCATTTGAATAAAGTCAAAATAACAGCTGAGAAAGAACAGTATGAAATCATTTTATTTCATGGTTTCTAGTCACCCACTTACAACCGTATACGTGATAAAGTATAGCATCGAGATATGATATAGTATAACTTATTAGATATTGATAAAGGAAGGAATTAGAATAACAAAGATTATCTATAATAACTATATAAATGATATTTTATACGAATATTCGTCAAGATTAGATTGAATAGTTTGACAGAAATTGGGAGCCGAGTAAAGAGAAGACATTATATGTGAAAATTATTATTTGAAATAATCTCAGCGATTGAAATTTGAATAATTTCAACGTTTCGACCAGCTAACTTGCCTGGACGTCTTCAGGGTTATAATCAAAATCAAAATCATCTAAGAAATATATAGCTTTTTAACAATCTTAACTATACTGTGTTACACCAATCAAATTGGATGTTGATTTTTGTAAAATAGGATAAAATGAGTCGGTTAACTACAATTCATGTGAAAAAATAAAAATACATGGAAATAATTAACTGAATAACAAATTGTATGTGAGTGAGTGTGTAGATATGTATGCATGTGTGAGATTATTTATTGATATTCCGTGTTGATATGATGGATAGTGGCTAGCAGTGGAATCCAGGACGCGCGTTTCGTCCCATTCGAGACTCGTCAGCTGGATGCACCTGGATCCGAGTTGATGTTCATTCTGGGACTCGAACCCTCAAAGCTTGTGAATTAAGGCAATATCGAGGCATACGCACAGTATGCACATATGCCAATAACAGACTGATCAGTTGCAGTATTAAACCTCAATGGGAAGATATAAGCCAAACAATACCAAGTGAATCTGTGTTGATATGTTATATATGAAGGAGTAAATAAATAAAAGTGCAAGTTCAAGGTTGATAAAATTGTTAATGAATCATCGATGTACATGTCAAACAAATACTTTGTTGTAACGTGTGAGACTGCAGGGTTTGATAAGCAGCGTATTTATCGATCGCTTCTGTGACAGTGGACACGTAAACACGTAAGGACGACCTAGTGCCCTGATTGCCCCTGCTTCGCTGTCTGTCCCAGCCAGTTGAGTCAAGAACACAAGTCACAGCCTCTGAGTTATGAATCATTGTATTTCAGACATACTCTATTTATATACTAACCAAACAAACCACATCGTACCATAAAATAGGGAACAACATTTACACAATATTTAACAAGTGAAATAAACATCGACCAATAGGAAATGTACATTTAAGGTCCAAGGCCACCATAGACTTAACACGATAATTATTGGTATATTTTTCCTCAGCATCCATAACATACTTAAATTGTATTACTAAAAAACTCATTGAAATCTGTCAAAAATAACGATGAATGTGAAATAAACAGGTTAAATAACGATGGAGTTCAAATTACTTGTCATAACGAAATTTGCCAGGTAGTCGCAAGTTGAATACCATCTTTTCGTTTCAGGCTGTTCTTGTTCGCCAATATATAAGAGTGTATTTTAGGGCGAGTAACACCTTAAGATCGACGTTAGTGAAAGTTAAGGACATGTTACCAAAGGAAGAATAACAGACTATTGTGTATGAGATCAACTGTCATGATTGTAATGCAGCCTATGTTGGAGAAACATCCAGACAATTGAATGTAAGATAAGCTGTGTGGACTTAACATAGTAACTGACACTATATGTTCTAAATATACATTTTGTAACTACTGTTGAACTCAATATCTTTCTATCGATCTCTCAACAAAAACGGCGTTCGACAGTTTAGCACATTTCGAATATTGTTAATCTTGAAGATGCCACAGGTATTCGGAGTTTGACAACGCTTTAACCAGTAACACCTATTATAAAGCGTACGCACCAAGTGAAAATCAAAAACAGAAGCGAGAAGGTTCGAAGATATATTTAATAGGCTATCAATATATCGTGAATCAACTGATCTAATCTGGCTAGCGATTGCAAGGGATGTTGAGCACGGCGTTCCCACTTGTGATCTGGTGCGAATGCATGACCGAGCGCCTTCAGCTAGGTGAGTCCATTAAAACTAATGTGGTCAGCATCCAATGTCGAAAACTTACAGATCTATTTATTTTGGAGACTTATTTACCGCTACAGTCTATATAAACAACTCTACAAGTTTCCCAATGAAGTAATGACAATCAAGTTATTTTGTAATTTCATAATTTACCCTCTCCCTCTCTTAATATTCAACTAAAATAATAATGAGTTGTTTTGTTGTTGTTGATGAAAACTAGAAATATTGCATAATCTATTCAAAATTATCTGATAGATATAATTGAATGTTGATTTTGTTTAAACTGATAAGAGGAACAACAAACATTTTATAGCGCCAATTAACTCATGTTGGATCAGCAACAACAACAACAACAAAGAAACTTCTTTTTGAAATAAGATCTATTAAATAATAAACAACATAATTCTAGAATGTTTTTTTGGAATGTCTCAGATAATTTTCTTTCTTAATTGTTATTAGGTCTATGAAAAATAAAATTGAATTTTTGTTAGTTTTAGTTTATTCAGTAAAACTTTGCGAAAGATTTTATGTGTACTTTAAATATTTTTCTGATATATATATATATATATATATATATATATATATAGCCCCCAAATGCCCTGGTATGGCCGAGAGTGAGGAGAGTCAACTCTCCCTCACGAAATGCTCTCACATGACTACGTGCATACAACCACTTCCAGGGAAGTTCTACTCACTGCCTTATCGCGCCAGGGGTGTTGTTTACGAAATTGAGAGGACGAAAAGCGAACTCTGATTCCAAACCAATAGTGCACATGGGCTCCAGTATCCTGAGGGGACAAATGGCGTATGAATTCATTATTGGTCACCGGCTAACATGGGACTGCATTTCCTGACGTTACTCCATTCACTACCTTGTGGATGAGACCTTCAGATCAAAGGCTCCGGATGTGGCCTCCTAAAAAAACCACCATCTTCAGTTTGGGCATTCGGGCAGTATCCCGGCCTTCACATAAATTGAATGATATATGTGGTTCATATGTGTTCGGTGCCTCCTTGTACCGATGTTTATGTGTTTAAATGAATAAATGAAATGATATATATATATATATATATATATATATATATATATATATATATATATAGCTTTTATATTGAAATTCCGAATCTTTGATTTCTTTGTAATGAACTAGTTCTCTCATGAGTCTTGTTATTAAAACGCCGAATCCAACAACACTTAATGAAAATAACATGACTGGTGATATGAGTTTATTTATGAATACAATCAGTCGTATATTGATTTTATTTACACTTAATGACTAAATAACATTTTCAGTATAGGGTTGTGAACATTATTAAGTTTTTGATTGAGATCATGAACCGATTGGTGTTAGACCACCATTGAAAACCTGGAAACACTGGACGGCCGTTTTGTACTACTATGGGACTCCTCAGCAGTGCGCATACACGATCCCGCTCGCGGGATTCAAACTCAGTACCTTCAATCTCGCGCGCGAACGCCTAATCACTAGACCACTGCTAAGACATCCAACTGTGTTAATGCCTAGCTTCAACCAATCCACAAAATCGCGCGACCACCTTCCGTAGTACCAAGGTAGATACTTGTCTCTACCTGACATGGATTAGCTCAAATGATCACTGCTTCGCACTAGAACTCCGAGAATTCCCTCACGTAGCTAGTCACTAGTGGGCACATAGTAATTACCAGTATGGGGTTGTGGAGATTATTAAGTTTTTGATTGAGATCATAAGTTGTACTGAGGTAGGTATCTATCTCTACTTGACATTAATTAGCTCCACTGGTCGCTCGATTTCGTGGATTGATTGAGGTTAGGCATTACCACCGTTGGATGCCTTAGCAGTGGTCTGGTGATTAAGCGTTCACGCATGAGACAAACGGTGCTGGGATTGAATCCTGCGAGCGAGATCGTGGATGCGCACTGCTGAGGAGTCCCACAATAGGACGAAATGGCCTTCCAGTGATCTTAATTAACATTTATCATTTCATCTTTCAATCCTGACAATAAGTTTGACTTTTCGGATTCAGTTGAAAGCGTTGAACTTGGTGCACATCATATCACACTTGTAAATACAAGCCACATCAGTATACGACTGAAGGGTTTTTTATATTAATATAGACTTAATGTTTAGTTGCAAACGATAATAATGGAAAATAACAACTCAACAAATTGATGATCTTTGTGGCATTGTGTAGGGATCGAAGTTAAAGAGATTGGTTTAAGGATAGAGTTTCGAGTGATACTAAAAGGTAAGTACATTTAGCCAAGTTCATATACAACGAAATGTATGACCAAATGTTACTGCTAGATTCCATATGAAAATACAATTCTTTTGTAGATACTTATTCATCGATTTGTACAGTTTTGTATTCCTAATTCTTTTTTCCATTTATTCTAAATCAAGCTCTTCTAATTTATGTAGATCTTTTGATATAAACTGTGAACCATTGAAAAGATAAGCTTTCTCGATAGCGATTTCACTTTAGAATAAAACTCTTCAACAGTGTATTCATACAATCCCAATGAAAGAAATAGACCAGCTCTTAAAATAAATATAAAACAGCACTGTAGTTACTCAACAAAAATCCCTTCACTTCCGATTTAATAAACCACTGAATAATTCTACTTCTTCCAAGAAAATCAAGAAATTACATTTCTAATCCATTTCAACTGTTAAAATGTGGATGAATATGATTCTTCTTTTGTAACAGTTTATTTTGACAATTGAAGTTTTAGGGGGTTCTTTTTTAAAGACATAACTGTATATGTAAGATTAATTCATCATAATAAATATCTCTTATTTAACATTAGATAAAATTAGTTATTATTATATATATTCACAATGATGTATCGTTTTGAATTCACTTGGGAGCATCAGTTCCCTCAAGATTACAGGTGCACCTTGCTGAAGAGTGTCAAGTAGCACGAAACCCGGTTCCAGGGTTTCCTGTTAACTACCTCCATCCACCATCTTATCTCGACATATTGCACGCAATGTCGGGTCAACTAAACTAATGGCCACATTGCAACTTGGTCGATAGCATTCGATCTGCACTAAGAAGGAGTTGACACACATGACACTGATCACCACCCAGTGATTAATCAAATGTGATGTACTAGAATTTTACATAGAGGTAAGAAATAGTATGGGACATTTGACATAAGTGGATGTAAAGAACTGGAATGGCAAGGGTTATCAATAATAACTACATATATATATGTGCAAGAACAGATCCGAGGTTATTTGGTGTTAGCATCAAGCAAACATTAAAGATGGGTGATGTAATAGTTGAGTAGAGTTCAGAGGCAGATAACTATCACATCTATATTTGTTCTGGCTTTATTTAAATTTCTAATATAATTCACTTTTAATTGATTCATTTTCTTTAAATGTTATTATTATTGTATAATTGTTTGATTTTTTTAAATATATAATAGTAGTATATGATGATTTTTCTTTCGATTTGCTATTATTCTAGTAAAGATGTACGTTTACCTGTACAACTTCAAAGAGCTATGGCCGCTGAAGCTGAGGCTACAAGAGAAGCACGTGCTAAGGTAAAGTTTATCATAAATTAGTATCATATACACTCATTTCATATTATAGCATCCCTGTTATTATCTTATTTTTGACAGAATTTCATTTGTTTATGCTAAATGGATTACATTTGACTTTTTGTAACAAATTTCCAAGTCTCCTCTTTACTGTAAATACAGATTCTGTTCAAAAGCTTCATAAAATTGTCTATCAGTTTTGACTTGATGAAAATAAAAGTGTATGAAGCTGTTAGATTAGTAGTCAGTCAATCAATCATCATAACCAATCAAGAACCTGGATAAATGTTTACCAGTTGAATTTGTCATAAGTGGCATCTATAGAGAGTGAGAAGAGATTCACCAGATGAGAAAAAACGATATGAAGTTAATTTAAACTATAATGAAGATAATGAGAAATATAAATTCATTTTGTATTGTTTGTTTGAATCTTCACCCCAATGCACAAGCTAAAGGCTATCAGGACTCAGTAGCTAAGTGGATAACATGATGGCGTAGGAAAGCGAACGGTAATAAGTTTCGGTCCCGGAGTGAACATCAACTCCGTGATGCAGTTGCATCCTGTTGATGAGTCCCAACGTAGAGGAAACGCACGTCCTGGACTCGGATTCTGGCCACCATCCATCTTTGCTTATAATAAGAAGTGCAGTTTTGTAATAAACATATGAAATTAAAGAATGAATATTAAAGTATTTTATCACATAACTCATTATGTAGACTAAAGGTAAAGAGAACAACACAATAAACTAAATCCAACTTATGTAGAAACCGAATTTGTGATTAATTTCATTGGATTTCTTAGATAGTGTTTTCTGGTTTCAGTAGTAGCTTCCTAACTACAGAAAGCATATATTTAGTTTATATAAATTCGAAACAAACAATCGGTTACATAATTATATTATGGATTATTTCCGTTCATTTCAATAGGCTCATGCCACTCTAAATCTGATCGAATGTAGCATTTGTTTTCCTATTAGCAGTTTGCTGAATAAAGGGTATGAATTCCTCTGAAAATATCAATTTTTTGGGGATCATAGACATGTCTATGAGAGTCAAGTAACAGGAAGTCCGGATTGAAAGTTTAATATGTAATCAAACACATATTCATAATGTCCCCTTAGAAATGAAACTATGTTTCTGTTGAGTCTTTTTTATTTTTAGGGGGATTGGGTGCAGAAAATTAAGAATGGGGGCTAACATTGTCACCAACTGCATGAATTACAGTTGATTAGTAATCAAGATATTTTGCACAGTAATGCACAATGTATTCTTAATCATATTGCGATTCCGTTTGTAGTTAAAATCATTAGTGAAACAAATTCCCACAAAAATATTAAGATTATAATGCATTATATGTAGCCGTTGCGTTTAACCTGAAGATACTTTGAGTAGTAAGGGAGCTTTCAGAATTGCATGCTCGAGGAAAGCTGGAAAAAAGATGTACAAGAGAAAAAAATGAGTCAACCACTCAGTAGTATGTGCACAAAATTCGCTTACTTTTGGTAAGCAAAGTAATCAACAAGAATTCGTTCTAACACAAGGGTAAAATTAAGACTACCTTATAATAAAAACTAGCAACTGATGGATCAAGACTCTTAACCCTTCACAGGTAGAAATTGTGAAATTATCTGAGATACATTTGGTCAAAAGATTCAATGCAGTTGAATAAATCAAATAAAGATTACTAGTTCTGTTTCGAAGACCACAAATTAATGAATGACTAATTAATCTACATATTCCATTTTAATATATATTTGAGGCTCCGTTGATTTTTTTCGGTGTCCTATAATTAATCCCTTTCATAATGATGACTACTACTACTACTACTACTACTACTATTACTACTACTACTACTATTTATCGTGATCATTATTATAATGTAAGAAAAAGCAATTTTAATTCTGACTGATGGGCTAAGTATTACAACTATGTGTATGTTTAGCTTGTAGACGATAAACGGTGTATTTACACTTGCCACATAATAATCAGTTAATGATGATGATGCATAGTCTGAATAAATGCATTTTAGAATGTACCTAAATAATAATTACATTAATGAACAGAGTCCAGTTATTTAATTATAAAATAGATATTCGACTTGTGTTTAGACAACTTTCTTCGTGATTGTTACTTTTCAATCATAATTAATAAATTGAATTGATTGATGAATTGGATGTTTCGGTTGTATATTGAATTGAACTGGAATAATATACAAGATGGACACATCTTTCCTCGTACATCAATTATGTATATATAAAACAGCAATCCTAGTAATTAAAACTAAGTGGTCTTATGCTACCAATCATTACTACTGATATAACCATATTTGCATTATGATTCATAAGTATAAGAACTTACTATGAAATGATCTTATGTATATATCCGTATATAACTACGGTACAATTTAGGACTGACTTACAAGAAATTATCATCACTGTACATTTAAAGAATCTCTTACATAGACACCCATTCTGAATTTTTCCAGTTGAAATTATGAATTTGAATTCTAATCAGAAAGGAGTGTTTTGTGGATATTATTGTAACTTTAGTAGATGAATTCATGAGCCAATTGAAGATAGACCACCATAGAAAACCTAGAAGCACTGGACGGCCGTTTTGTCCCAATATGGGATTCCTCAGTGGTGCGCACCCACGATCCCGCCTCGCTGGGATTCGAACCTAAGACATATCAGTTTGGCGCGTGGGCTCTTAAACTCTTGACCACTGAGCCAGCATCCAACGGTGTTAATGTCTAAATTTCACCGATCCACGAAGTTGCGCCACCGTCTACCATTGTCATCAATGAGTTACTATCTCACAACTGACCTGGTTGAACTCCACTGATCACTTCTGAGGAGTCCTATACTAGAACGAAACGGCCGTCTAGTGCTTCTAGGTTTTCCATAGTGGTCTATCTTCAATTGACGCATGAATTCGTCTACTAATATTTGAATTTTGTTCGGCAGGAACTAATGGGAATCTTGAGGAAACTGATGTATCTGATCTGATTAAGGCATATGCGAATCAACTCCACAATCAAGAATTTTATCATTGAACTATTCATACCACAAATAATATCCTTTAAAACTGACACATACTTTTTTATTAACTGTGACGTAGTTTTACGCCAAACGCGACAATTTTCAGTCCTAAAGGATCATTTTTCATTCTAAACAATATGTACTTTATAAAAAGCTATACGTTGTAAGCTAAACTTAACATTATGTGAAACAGATAGTAAGTTAATGATTCTATGTATTAAAAGTACATCAAAATGCTTTCAAAAAGCTGGGAAAAAAAAAACAAATATTTCAATAAACAAATGAGAAATCCATCATTTGAACTTTTATTTACTGGACCATTTATAATATAACAAGTAAACAAATAAACAAAGTTATGACTGTTTTTTTTTTGTTTCTATTATTTACACCATAATTGAAAAATGTCATCTACGACTATTTTAAGTAATTCAGTTGTTTAGAATACTTCTTTTTTCTGAATATCTTTTCCACTTAACAATTAAAACTATATATACATACATATATCACTTTTCTGGTTTGAATATTTTTTAGTAAAGTTGTTTTCTATAGGATAGAGTTGCTAACCCTATGTTCAACACTCCTCCTTTACCCGGACTTGTAACCGGCATTAAATTTATCAAAGCTACAGGCGGAGATATATCTATTAAATATTAGTAATTTCAAAAAAAATTTCAGAAATGACCTCATTATATCTAACGGAATCTTCGCTACATCAGGATACATATATTCATCCTTAATCACCCTCTTATGTATAAGTATGTCAGTATATGTAATAACTCTGCCTTTCAAATATTTTATGTTGTTAGCAGCTGATGAGAACCTAACGAAATAGAATGAATTGATCATATTCTGCACCAATCTTTGTTCTTGCTCTCTTCAAGATAATAAAGGGAACTATATGGGTGAAGTTATATAGTAGTTTATACTACTTGATCATAAGTATCTCGGTAGTATAGTTGAATTAATTCTCGCGTGGCAGGATCATGGATGCGCATTGCTGAGGAGTTCGCTACTAGGACGAAAGGGCCGTCCATTATTCCTCAAGGTTTTCCATGATGGTCTAGTTCCAAATGACTCATGGACTCAACTTATAAATTAACAATGATCTCAAAATTTATTACAGTTTATTTAAGAATCACTAAGGTTTATCTCTATACACAATACCCTTTAACATTACCATATCAATAGTTATTCAAAAAAAATAATGTTTGTTTATTTTTTGACAATAAAAACCGAACTATCATCAGTCATATAATAATTTATTCTCTTTCCTTTTTTTTCCCCCTTTATATTTTCATTTCTTTTTCAAGGTGATTGCTGCAGAAGGTGAAGAAAAATCATCTGTTGCATTAAAACAAGCTGCTGATGTAATTAAAACATCACCATTTGCATTACAATTACGTTATTTACAAACATTAAGTGCCATTTCAGCTGAAAAAAATTCTACAATTATATTTCCACTTCCAATTGATATGTTAGTTAATTTATTTCATCGATAAAATTACATCATCAAATTAATAAATCAATAAATCAATAAAATAAACATTCATATACATGATCATATGAATAATTTTCTTGTATTCAAATTTAAATTTAAATTTAAATTTTTTTAAAAAAAAAAGAAAAAAAAAGGTAAACAGTTTATTCTGTGAAATTCTGTAACCAATCAATTGAATAAATAATTATTTCGATTTTTCTTTGAAAAAAATTATATAATTACGCGCAATATATGAATAGAATACAATAAACTATAATACAATGTATTTAATCTTGAATAATAGATCTCCTTATTTGTTTATTTATTTAAATGAAAATACACCATTCATTATTGTTTATTGTTTTATACATTCTCTATTATATAATATTGATAATTAATTTTGTGTAACTGTTCATTAAAAGTTTTCTTTTTGAAAAAAATATTACAATAAAATAATGTACCTTTTGGGTGTTTGCAAATTGTTCCATTATTTTCTTCTTTCATTTCATCTTTGATTTTCTTCTTTTCTTATATATATATATATATATATATATATATATATGCATGTGCGTGTGTATCTCTGTGTATATGTGTGTGCATATGTGTGTACTGTACTGCTCACAGAATAATTGATTTTTTTTTCCCTTCACAACGGATAAATTAAAAGAGGGGTGAAAATCAATTAAAACCAAGTATAGGTAATTCTTTTTTTCTCCTTTTTTTTTTCTTCTACTTCTTCATAAGTTAGGTAATTACGCAAATATTAAACATGATAAAAATCATTTATCTTGTTGTTTCATTCTTATAAATAGAGACCAAAATACTCATTTGTTTATTTATTTATTTATTTTTCTTGAATAATCAAATGAAATTACATTATTCAATGTCAATTTTGTTGACTTCTAACATTTATAATGATTTCATTAAGTTTGTTTTAGTGTAATGAATTGATCGATTGGCTCTTGTTCAAGTACTTGACGATAATGATGATAATCATAGTAGTAATAATACTATTATTACTATTATTATTAATCAGTATTATTATTACTATGGTTATTAACTTTGTGAAAATAAAATATTTTATCATTTATTCTCTTTTTAAATAGTACAACATATAAACAAGAATAGTTAGACATACAATAAAAACAAATAGATAAACTCATTAATGTTTATCTACATTGAGTTTCTATTGAATTTGTTTCAAGTCCTGACTTCCTTTTTCACCTTCCATTTTGAATTCGTTTCCGTTTCTTTCTCTTTTTTTTTCTTTCTTGAATTTTATTTTTAATGAATATGTTCAATAGGGACATTAACATGAAAATAATCAATAAATTATGTCTATTTAATTCATCTTAAATAATCTATTTCTATAAGCATTTTGAATAGACATTTATGTTGCTGTGTACAACTGTACAACTGGTGTTTTTTTTTCCCCATTTCTTAATGTATTTGAACGTATTATTATTACATTTAAGTATACATGTTATAATTCGTTTGTTTTGTTTTATTTTTCTTCTCTATATGGAATGTAAACAAACTATAATGTTTCAAGTGATAAATGAAAGAACGAAATAAATAAATAAATAAAGAGTTTCTTTCTTTTATTATTGTTCTCATTATTCATTCTTTATTAATATCCAATAAATGGATAGATATAGATAGAAAAATGTACTTCATTTCATATGGTTACACTTTTTGTTAATACAATATAACAGGAAATTAACATTACTTACTTATTACATACACATAGTTCCCTTTATCATTTTAAAAATAGCAAGAACAAAGATTCTAGTAGAATAGCGTGAATTCATTTTTATCTCGTAGGTCCTCGTCAGCTGCTTACAACCTGTGATATTTAAAAATCATAATTACATAATGGATTTAAATTACTTATATGAAAGGGTTTGGTTGGAATTTATATTGAAGACATATTCGTATAGTATAGCAAGAGTGTAAATAAATTCCTATCAATGTTTACTTGTTTCTAGCCGTTTGAACCGTTGTCACAATGTTCTTTTACATAAGGTATATATTTACAATATTCAGTCTATTAAATTTATTTACACCCTTGCTATACTATACGAATATGTCTTCAATATTACTTACTTACGTCTGTTACTCCTAATGGAGCACAGACCACTGACCAGCATTCTCCAACCCACTCTGTCCTAGGCCTTCCTAGGAAATTAATATAATGTGAAGAAAATAAAGTTAAAAATAATAACTGTGTTGGCTGTGATACAATTACCTAACAATATTATTAGAAGACGATTTAGTGATATCATGAGCTTATTGAAGTTGGAAATGTAGATCATTTAATGTCAACTAAGTGTTTCGTAGGATAAATACTTGTTGAGAGAAATGATGATCTTGTGTTCAATCTGTTTTGTTTGTGCACTACTGAGTAACTACATTCTAGAGCTTAGCAACTGTCTAATGAACTAAAGTCAATCTCTGACGTTAATTTCAAAATTCAACAAACTTCAACCCCTTTTCCACTCTATATACTATCAAATAGTACACGTGGTGGACGACAAACAAAAGAGTTAAGTACATCTGAAGGAACTGTATTGTTGTTGTAATTAAACAAGAAAAAAGTCTTCGCATTTTAGGGTTTAGTACATTGTTCATTATAAAAACTGAAAGTTCCGTGTTGCACACTTCAAGATTTCATTAATAATGACTAAACGTAATGAAGAAATAATTTTTGAAATCTTAAGTTTAACTATATATTGCGTCTTGCCCATTTAGTTTCCATGTGGTGACACTAGATCTGTAATATAAGATTTTTTCTATAAACTTCGGTTTTACGACCCGAGTGTTATAACAAATACCCCGTAAGTAATAACTAATATTAATAATAGAGTTCATCAACCAATATTTAGTAAAATGAATTCAATAATAACAATCATTAAATTGAGTGAAGGATTAATTAGTAGCGAAGTTACAGCTACTCAGATTATATATACAATATATAATACAGATATTAGTATTACTTTTAAATAAAAATACCAACTACATCAAGCAGTGGCATCTAGGAAACTCGTCTAGTTCAATTCCAGATTCTTTGGCTCAATGTTACCACAACCAAGTATCAATGTTCAAGTGCGACTCCAGCTTAATATTTTTAATTTAAACACCCAGACACTATCTACTGAGTCTTACTCAGTCCTAGATTTCATTGATACATATTTAATGGTCCGGGATCTGACCCCAATTAGATCATATGAATGATTACTGTCGAAGTATAAATATCGTCAATCCTCGTATAAAATTATTGACTTAACTCGCATTAGAGAATAACGGAATTAAATAAATCAGATACGAGAATGTATGTTCGAATATGTATATTTTGTACACTCGTTGATCGGAACAGACAACCAGAGAAACGCAGTGAATGAAGTGAAGAAGAGAGAGTGAAGTGAAATGATGCGCAGTGGAGAAGGCATGTAAGCCAAATCAATTTAACCAAGAGTTAATCGATATTTATAGTTACAGGCATTTGATGAGTAAGATAGAAATGAATACATAATGCTGACATAAAAACAGTCAAGGTTGATAAATGAATAATTAACAAGATCAAAATGTAACTCAATAAAAATGGATAGATTAACCTGTCTAGAAGCTAGTAAAAGTTATATGAGCTTAACATAGTAACCTGTAATGTCAATTGCCATGTTGAGCCCATATATCTTATTCTAGCTATCAGAGAGGCCAATCTAATCATTCTTATTGAGTCATATTTCGACCTTAATTATTCACTTATCAATCTGGACTGTTTTTATATGATCGCATATATGTGTGCCCTTCTTATCCTATTCATCACATGTCTGTAGTCTATTTTTATGTGACTATAAATATTGAATAACTGTTGATTCGATCAAGTTGGCTTATCCGCTATCTCCACTGCACGTCGTATCGCTTCGCTCTGTTCCATTCGCTTCTCCGATATTTTGTCTGGATCAAAGATTGTATGAAATATACGTAATCGAGATTCATTCTCGTTATTTGACTTATTTAATTCCGTTATTGACTAACGCGTTTTAAGTCGATGATTATATACGAGGATAGGCGACATATATATTTCAATAACAATCATTCAGACGATCAAATTGGAGTCAGATCTTAAGCCACTAAAGTAGAGAGCCCGTCAACAACATCGTGCAGCCAATTTGATGTCAAAGGGTTGGGTCATACTAAAACCGACACTACACATATACGCTGACATCCCTAACTACTCAGTACATAAAATTTAAACTTAGAACCCTCTCTTATGATTCTATTAGTATTTGTACAACAATAATTCAGTTATTTCACTTGGTTTTGTTTTACTTGAATCTTCCCATTGATGTTTAGGACTGAAATTGATCAGTCTCTTATTGGCATATGTGCATACTGTGAGTATTACCTCGATATTGCCTTAATTTACAAGCATTCTAAGCAAAGATTGATAGTGGCTAGCAGTGGAATCCAGACGTGTGTTTCGTCCTATCTGAGGCTCGTCAGCTGGATGTCCCTGAACCTCAGAGCTGGCGTTCACTCTGGGACTCCAACCCAGTGCCTTTTGCTTCAAACGCCATCACGTTATCCACTTAACTACTGAGTCCTGATAGCCACTTGTTTGTGCGACGGGGTGAGCGGTGCTGGGTTCGAGCCCCAGAGTGAACGCCAGCTCTGAGGTGCAGGTACATCCAGCCGACGAGTCTCAAATAGGACGAAACACACGTTTGGATTCCACTGCTAGCCACTATTCATCTTTGCTTAATAATTCAGTTCTATCCACCTAACTATCATCAATCGTTACAATTTTGGAAACTTTACAATTCTATTACAGAAAAGAAAAAGATGTTTACTAATTTAACCAGCTGTGTTTATTCAGTAAATTATTGTCTGTTTTAATATTTATATTAACGAAACTAACAACTTAATTCATTTATTTCTTTAAATATACATGGATAATTTAAAGTGATTTTTAAGTAACAAAAGTGATTATGTTATTAATGATCTAAATAAAACTTTCCTATGTAAATAGAAACATTCGCAAGAGAAGATGAATATTGAACATTTAACAAAATATTTTGACCAACTGTTATAATATCTATTTAAGTCGATATATATTTTCTAATACTTTCAA